AAGAATGTTTAGATGTCTATATAGATTCTTAGTAACGTGACTGAATGTGTTGTTGTCCAGAGCAGAGATATCCCTTTTTTTTAAGAATCCATTGTTTATGTTGTCTCTAATATCAATAAATATCATTCAAAAATATTGTATTATTGTTGCAAAGACCACCTCCAACATCGCCTCCCCCCAAAATGTCAATGGTGGCAATATGGAAACTAATTTTTAACTAATTCCATGCAGTAATTGTCTTGTATTCACTTGCTTATTCATTGGCTGTATAAGATGGAAACAAGGTGGAAAGAAGGAGATGAACTTTCAGCAAGTAAAGAAAAGCTCTTCCAAGTCACCTCTACAGTAAAAATGCCTTAAGCTATTTGTGATGTAATCACCTCAGCACAGCAACTCCAACAAGCAGTTAATGTTGACATTACGATGTTCTTGGACTATTTAGTCAACAGTACTTATGCTTACTCTTTCATTTTTAGAACTAGGAAGAACCAGTCAAACACTGATAAACAAGAATTTTATTTGATGATGCCATAGTAAAACATGGAGGGGGGAAAGTCCCCTACATTACTGCATGCACAAAGTCCTCCTTCAAGTCCTAGCATCTCTAGGTGAAGAGACTCAGGGTATTAGAACTATGAAAAATCTTCTGCATGAGACCTGGAGCTTGGTACTAGTCCAGTAGTCTGCCACAGTATAAAGCACTGAGGAAGTGAGCTCTGACTAACAAAATCTCGTGCTAAAATAAACGTTAATCTTTAAGATGCCATCCTACTTCTGTTTTACAGTGCAAAGCAGGTTCTATGCCTAGACTTGGAAAGTGAAAGCAATCTTCATAAATATTCGGGAAACTACTCTAGTTCAGGAAAAGGCTCCCATTTTTATCCTTAAATTGCTTTTTTAGCTTTTGGCTGTATGGTTTGCTTGTTTTAAACACATACACACATATTCTTATAGTGCAGACTGTTCTGTTCTGATCCATGTATGCTTAAATGTCACATAACCACTGTTTCAGTTTTGCCAAAGCTTAGAAATGAGGGTTAAGTACTCAGAATACAATGTAGAAAACCAGCTGTAATCTTTTTCTTACTACCTACTGTCCCTTTCCACCCAGACTCCAAAAGCATTTTGCACAGTGGCCCAGAAACAGGGAGGTACAGATCTAAGCAATGGATTAAACACAAATTAAACAACTCCTACCTAGAATGACATAGAATTTTCTGTGAAAACAGCTTCATTCTGTGCCCACAAAAGTCACTTCCAGATATTATGCATTACTTGCGATTTTCAGGTGCATCAAAAATTCAGGATGGGTCTTTGAGCTTTGTGGTACTAAAATTTGTAGCACAGCTTCAATGAAAACCAGCCCAAAGTATAAATTAAACAGCTCAGAGTTGCCCTCATCAATGCAATTCCTGCTTGGGTTGTCAGTATGGCATAGAACAGGCCATAATAACTGTGGCAGCATATGCTGTAAATCACTACCCAAAGGCTGCCTTTCTTACAAATTTTCAGAAGCAATAAATATTGTGTACATCAAATTGGATTAAGTACATTCTGTATCAATACAGAAAAGAGTATCTCTTGTTAATAATTTTATAAATTTCTTCTGTGAACCCTGTAAGCCAAGCAACATTTTTCCAGTCTCATCTGCATAAATGTCTATTCAGCAATAGTCCTGAAAAAGGCTCATCATCACCAGTATGTATTGCTGATTCCCATAACAGTCACTGGAACAAAGTCATATTATCCAGTATTTAAAGTCTAGACTACTGGTCCATCAAGCTCAATAGTGTCTACTCAGATTGGCATTAGGTCTCCATAATGTCAAGCAGAGGTATTTCACATCACCCCCTACCTGATCCTTTAAAACTGGAAATGCCAGGGCTTCGGCATGTTAAGCAAAGGCTCTAACACTGAGCCATAACCTTTGTCCTCCTCCACTTGTATGCATGCATGAAAAGTTTAAAATGACTTTCACACAGTTTTCCACATTTTTTTTACAGACTATGCTTCTTAAGCTCTCTGTGAAAAATATTACACAAACAAGCATGCAAAGTCTGTAGTATATAAAAGGCCAATGCAGACATCATATGTCCAAACATAGAGGAAGTGGGGCAGTCTTTACCTGTATATGGTATATGCAGGTGACAGGGCAGAGCCTTCCTCCTCTTTTGTGCTTTACTTCCCTGCAGTGTCTCATTTCTTAGGCTATCTCTAGTACTGGAACTGAGAAGGGCAAAAAAAGGGCTTGGAACAACCAATTAAGAGAAATTAATGTTCTAAGTCTCCTTCATGTACAACCCGTGAGACAGACTGTCACAGGCCCCTGCCACACGAGGGAAGAAAGGGACAGCCAAAGTGCGGCTTTTAAAAGCCACACCTAAATAGGCACGCGGCAACGGGATCATACAGATCCCGTGAGCTGCTGTGCATTTGCTCCCCGGCACGATCAGATGCCGGGGAGACGGGGAGAAAGGTACGGGAGTCTGCTGAACTGCGCATGTCAGAGCATGTGCAGTTCGGCGAGGAGCCGGTGATGCGCCGGCGAAAGAACACGCCGGCGATCCCACGGTCGGCGTTGCTGTGGCCGTTCGACAAGAACCACCTCAGTAGGTGGTTCTTTTTTGGTGCGGATTATTGCTGGAAGGGCCGGATCGGGACGGACACGGTACGCTTCCCAGATGTTGCGGTGGGATCGCACCCGTTTGCTCCACCCCCATTCTGTCCCTCTCCCGGCCCTAATCCTCTTGTGTGACTGTGGCCACAGTGTACATTTGATTTTTCTTTATATGTGTGTTGAATACATTCAACGTATGTACAGATGAATGTGTGATCAACAAGATGCCCATTCACTAACACGAACAGGGCAACTGTATAACTACCGTGGACACATGAAAAGAAACCATTTCTTCTAGCTTGCCCCTACATTGCATGAATTACACGAAGTCACATTTCAGAAGAGAAACAGCATTACATTTGATTTTTCTTTATATGTGTGTTGAATACATTCAACGTATGTACAGATGAATGTGTGATCAACAAGATGCCCATTCACTAACACGAACAGGGCAACTGTTTAACTACCGTGGACACATGAAAAGAAACCATTTCTTCTAGCTTGCCCCTACATTGCATGAACCTCTATTACACAAAGTCACATTTCAGAAGAGAAACAGCATTAAGAGACAACTTTTTAAAAAATGTATTCGCTCCCTTAAAATGTGTTAATGCTGTTTGTTTTTTATCTTGTTGATGTTTTTATGATTATTGTACATTGCCCAGAGCTCTGCAGTAGCAGGGATTGGTCGATTCAAAAATCTAAAATAGCAACAACAACTATTGAGGATCTACACATATTTTTAAATAAGACACATGCCAACACTACCTTGAACACATTTAGCAATGTAATACGGTGCAATTTTAATTTAATTTAATGTTTATGATCTATTCACTTCAGTGAAACTTTTAAGCTCCTAAAAATCTGAGAATAACAGCTATGTTTTAAGATCAGCTTGGGTAACCATTCACTTTTTAGGTGTTGTACAATCTATTATTAAAAGAGAAATGTTACAGAACTGATCAAAATACACCACGAAATAACTGGTTAAGTCTGGAATCTAGAGCGCCCATCCAGCAAGCCAGAACAAGGATGTCTTGAATGCAACACTGTAGTTATACAGTTTCAAACATCACAAAAATAATATGGCAAACACAAATTACAATAAAGTGGCACAGGTAACATATAGATGGGCAATGAAAACATACAATTATACTAAAACAAAGGATAATCTAAAAACAGATTATATAAAGCAATGACAAGTAAAACAAACAGAACTCTCCTGGAATACATGAGAACTCTGAAGTCTTTCCTAAGTGTTTATTATCTAGAAAAATAGCTAGTTGCTTCACTATTTGATAGCTTTTAAATATAGGGAGTAAATGTTATCTATATTGAAAATTCCCATCAGAAATAATTTAAAAATGACAATTTTTAAAGATAATGTAAGTATGGTGTACTATCATAAATACCATCAGCTATAAAATGATTTTAAAAATCTCTATCTGTTATATAGAAAATTCCTTTAAGTCTTGGTGTTAGTGCCAGACACTCGTTTTTATGCAAGTATGGGATATTTCATGACACAAATCACAAAGTTAATTTTCAAGCATTTTGTCTTTGGATACACAAACTCAGTTCTAAATGATGTATCAGATTCTAGCACACAGATAAACAGAACAAGCATTATTAAAAATCAAGAATAAAAGCAAGGCTCTAAAGACGCTGCCCATGGCCACAAGGATGGTTACAGAATGGCCAGTAGCATACACTGACAACTTCCTACATACCTAGGGCTCAATATAAGCTAGAACTGAGCTTCTGAACCTGTCCGAATGCTCGGCCTAAAAAGAAAACTGTAATAAGAGTTGACGGCCCCCTTTCTTTTGCAGCTGGGATTAAGAGTTATAAAATGAAGGCGAATTTAAACCCCATCGTCCCTCTCTTTGAAATTAACCTCAGTTCTTATGTGGTCGATTAGCGTCCAAAAGAATTGTTTTAGCAGTGCAGAGCAGCAGAAATGGTGCCGGGACGAAGGTGGGGGAAAGAAAGAAGAGGAAGGGGCGGGAGTTGAAGCCTTCACCTGGCGCGGCACAACGAAACCGACGGTCTGACCTCATATTTTTATTATTATTACCAACAAGGGCTCGACTCTGGTGGAACAGATGGATTCTATGTGTCTGTCTCAACAAGGCACCTGCCCAGCCAGCCGGTCCCCCTCCACCAGTTCCATCCCTGACGCACACCGCTTGCCCGCCCGCCTGGTCAGCCGCCCGGCTCTTCGTTAGCCGAGGCCAAGCCGTGCCCCAAGTGGGACAACAGACACGGACATCGCGGCATGGTCGGACCTTGAGGAGAGTGGAGGGGGAAATGAGGCGTGCGGCGAAGCAGTGCCGAGGTGAGAGAAGGAAGCTGAGAGGAGCCGGCAAGAAGACTCGCTCACCGTGAAGGGATGCCCTCCGACGCTTCCCACGGAGAAGCAGTTGTCCCCGGGGTTGACGGCCCCCGTCAGCACCTGGTGCAGGTTCATGGCGGGGCTCTCGCCTGCCTGCTCGGGCACAGGCCAGCCAACGCCACCGCGGACAGGGCGAAACTGAGGCAGCCGCGCGGCCGCTGTTAGTCCCGCAGGAGGAGGAGGCGGCGGCGGCGGCACATAACGTGGGGAGGGGTCTCTTCTCAAGCACCTCCCTCGTAGGCAGAGACGACGTCGCCGGCGTTCCTGTGGCGAGTACGCGCAGGAGGATGCGCGCGTTCCCTCTCTCTCCTGCCGACCCTCAGCCCCTCTCAGCTGGTTAACAGCTTGTGAACTGAATCCTCGCGAGAACTACGGAACCATGATGTCTTTCTTTTCGCCCAACCACTTCATTCTTCTCTTCCCCCCCTCCCTTTCCCGCTTCAGCTCTTGCACAAGGAGCGCGTGCGCAGATGCCTACGCAGCGACTGCGTGGCGTAAATACTTCTCTGTTGTGGGAGGGAGTCTCCTCGCCGCACAGGCGCATTTTTAGGAACGAAACGCCGGCGGAAATGGGAATGTGTGAGCAAGCGCAGAAAGAGTCATCTGAGGAGTTGAAACTTTTCATTCAATGCAGGGACCAGCTGGTGTCACGTGATTGTGGCTGCGGAGGCGGAAGTGTCGTGTAGACGGCAGTCTGGTTAAGGGCGGTAAAGGAGTCAGTACGTTTGGTTTCTGCAGGGTGGATATAGTTGTAGTTTGACCTCTAGCTGGTTCGATAAGGGGTAGTGTGGAGCCTGATCTGAGCAGATGATGAGCTAAAGCTACAATTTACGTCTTCTGTCTTTGTATGGGTGTGAGGGAAGTTAGAGCAGTGCTGCTAAGCATATCAACGTCTATTGTATTTCTACCCCGCCTGTCAAGCCAGAAGGCACCCGGACAGATCATAGTGGCGTCATTTTGCGTTTTGCTCTTACAGGCTGAGAGACGTTCTTTCCGTGTACCCCTCCCCGCCGGTCCAGATTGCGTGTGATCCATGGATAGCCGTAATTAGACAGTGACGATGAACTAGTTAAGGAGTACGAAAAAAACAAACTTCTCTCTCGCGAGGAGTTCATGATGGTGCATATAGTCCCCCTGTCCCAACGGGACCTTGAGATCCCCCGGAATTATAGTTTATCTCCAACGTACAGAGATCAGTTCTCGGGGGGACGGGGGGGGGACGGATACTTTGGAATGTGGACTCTATAGCACTGTACCCCACTGAGGTCCCTGTTCTCCCCAGGCTCCATCTCCAAATAGAGGTAACTGTCATAGCCAAGTAGGGATCTGTGCCCTAGTCTTCCCATTTAAAATCTTAACAGCGATACAACACTGGCTCTTAGTGGTTTTTGTGCTGACTGGATTTTCTTGCACTAGGTAGCCCTCCTTTTTGCTGAGAGAGTAAAAATTGTTGAAAGCATGCCTTGTATATTGTGTATAAGTTTATTCAAAGATGTTTATCCCTTGTCTTGATTCCTACCTTTCATAGTACAGATATGCAGCTGATGCTGGAAAAAGAGTAGTTTGTACAACTTATAATAGTAGTATCTGAGGTGAGATTTGAACTGGCAACGGCCTGAGTCACAGCTCAGTTAGGACTTCCTTTGTGTGTGCACATTTACAGTAAACTAATTATGGTGCAATCCTAAAGTGTGCTTTATTAAATATTGTTGAGAAGGATGTAACTGTTTAGGATTGCACTGTTAGAGGTCACTGGAAGCTTAAAAGAGGGGTGTAGGCAGAGTTTCTAAAACCCAATCACTGGGTTCCAGGGATTATTACTGTTAAGTCGCTCATTTAACAAAGTAGTCGGAGAGTGATTCAGCAAGAACACAACTTTATTCTTCAACTCGAACACAACTCCAACACGGATCAACATCTGATAGCCAGAACAGCCTTTACATTGCAGCTGTCCTGCTTTTAAACATTCCCAACTAATATAGCCACACCCACTGTACAAATACCAACCAATACGGTTGTTCACATAAGGACCAATCACGGATGTTCCCGCTCAGGGAGCTTGCTTGAAAGTGATTGGTTAGGTGCTTCCTGGGCTAGTAACACGATTGGATGGATTTGGATCCTAGCCCAGGACAAAGCTTTACATTACACTTCAATTAGATGTTTCACAACATATCATGCATTCAAGGCAGCTTTGAATACACTACAATTACAGTTCTTTTTCTACCCCAGTCAACCATAAAAAAGCAGACCCGCCACATCATTGTGATGATCTGTGTTTGCCTCACCATGTGCAGAGAAAAAAGTTTGCTTTGTAGTATATTTCTGCACTTCTTCCTACTGAATGTACACAATTGATACTTTGAAAAAGACAGAGAAATGTACTAAAATATATGAAATAGAGACTGTCCCCTATCTTTCCTCACATGACTCGGCAATAGTGTTCAAGTTTATTACGGTCATAGACCAGTATAATAGAAGACAAGTAAATACAGTTACAGGAGCAGTAAAATTATAAAATATATCGGCATCTAAAATTATAAATAGGATCTAAAAACGTTAAAATACAGAAATAATAAAATCAGAATTTTGATTAAAAATTAGGTTTAGGCCTATCTATCCTTTATCTCTTTCCTAGTTTGGTATGCCAACCAACCAAATTTGGCAACCATCCTAGTCAACTTTTGATTATCTCCTGCCAGCATAATTGACAAAAGTATCCTTCTATCACGACCTGGAAAGGAATTAACTATAGGCTTGATCAAAACTTCCCTGGTATTATGATATATGAGACAATCGAAAATTACATGTTCCAATGTTTCATCAGATCCCATCCCACAAATACAACTTTTCCTCAATGATCTAGTAAATCTGGCCTCCATTATGGCTGAGGGTAAGGCGTTGTATCTTAATAGGGTAAAAATTCTTCTATGATTGCTGATATCTAAATATTTGATGTAAGGTCTCACAGCTATCTTGTTAAGTGAACTTACATCAAATACAGGGCTCCTAATCCTGCTCACGTCCATCTGTCGTTCGACATCTAATATTCTTTGTTTTAGAACTGATCTAGCCCGATCGTGTCCCAAAGACAGAATAAACTGTTTTGAAAAACCATAACAGACCAGTTTATCTTCTATCTTTTTCCGCCATGAAGGAACAAAGTTATCTTGCATCATAGTATGGGAAAGGCCAATGGGTAAAAAAATCAATTTTAACCAATAGTAAAATGCAGCAATCCACAATCTTGCCTCGACCATAACCAGGCCAGCCTCTAAACGGATTGCAGCATTTGAAACGCTTGTTGGAACTTGAAATATAGCTCTTAAAAATTTCGATTGTGTTCTTTCAAGTAAGGTCAAGTTTGTCAGGAGAGACAAAGGAGCTCCATATAATAATTGGGGTAATACCTTTACAGTGAATAACTTAATGGCAGCTTCTAAGTTACGACCTCCTTTGGACCAGAAGAACCTTTGAATAGCTCCAGCACTTTTCTTTGCATTAGCTGACAGGTAATCAACATGGCCTTTCATATGACCGGACGACTGAAATACAACTCCAAGGTATCTATAGCAACGAACTTGCTCAATGGTACGAGAGTCAATAACCCATTTAAACATCCTAGGCCTATTGGCAAAAGCCATTATTTTAGTCTTCATATAATTTATCTCTAAGCAATTCTGATTACAGTATTGCATAAGAGCACACATAGCTCTCTTAAGTCCCCATGACTCGGCAATGGTGATCCATGCAATAGTCACTTCCAGGATTGATTACTGTAACTCACTCTGTGTGGGCCTACCCATGAACTTGATCTGGAAACTCCAGCTGGTACAAAACACAGTGGCGCGCCTGCTGTCTGGAATGCCTGTGCAGGCGCACATTTAACCAGTGCTACGCCAGTTGCATTGACTGCCAGTTGAATATCGGATCAGGTTCCAGGTTATGGTGTTAAACTTTAAGGTCCTTTGTGGCCAGGGACCAGCACATCTGCAGGACTGTCCCTCCCCGTGTATTCCCTACAGAGCCTTACGCCCTGCTGACAAGCACCAGCTAGTAGTCCCCAGCCCGTGAAACATTCATCTGACCTCAGCCAGGGCTCTTTTGGCCCTGGCCGCGTGAAACATGCCCCCAATTGACATCAGGGCCCTGCAGGACCTGTTACAATTCTGCAGGGCCTGTAAGATGGAGCTGTTCTGCCAAGCCTTTGGTTGAGGCAGCAGATGTCCAATAACGTTGGCCTCCCCTGCATCGGCCACCCATGGCGCTTGTATATCAACTATCGCCAACGATCCATTGCCCCTTCTACCATGAGGTCAGCATACTTTAGTATGTAATCAGTTGCTGAACTGTCAGTTAGGAGACTCAGATTATGGTGTGGATTACTTAATGTTTTTACTTATTTAACATTTTATTTCTTAATGACTATTTAACTTTTTAAACTGCTGCTGTATTGTGATATGTGAGCCACCCTGAGCCTGCTTGCAGGGTAGGGCAGGCTATAAGCGGCAATAAATAAATAAATATTAGGTACTAAACAAAATTTGAGTCCAGTGGCACCTTTAAGACCAACAAAGTTTAATTCTGGGTATAAGTGCATGCACACTTCTTCAGATATTATTAATTACTGTATTTTACTGTACTTTTCAGACAAAGATTGGTTCCCAAAATCTTACATACAACAATGTACATTTCAAATAAGCTCTAATAAAAGGTGTTTGGGCAAAGAGTTCTTAGGTCAAGGACAAGCATAATCACAAAATATGGATATCCTTACTGCATTAACATGTGGAATAGAATACTACTGAAATTGCATTCATTTATGAGTATCAGTCAGCATACTAGGCTGCTCTGTTGCAGTGCTGCTGAAGTTCCTGGTTGTTAAAACCTATAGTGTCCTGGTGATATAGGTCTAGCAAGGCTGATTGAAGAGTTTATCTTTTTCCACTCAGTTTTACTGAGTTTTCACAATGCTCACTTACTCTAGGAAATATAACTGGTAGGCCTATTCCACAAAATTACGTAAAGTTGTTAGGAACTGTGGCTTGTATCCAACCACAGGGCACTTGCAGTTTAAGAGAGGGCAGCTATTTTTGCCTATTAGAGTTTTTCAGTTTAAAAAAAGGTTGGGATTTTTTCCTGCAAACTGAACCGTAGTCCCTCTACCCTGTGGAGTTTGCGGGACCC